AGAAGGAGCCAAGGAAGAAGCAAGCAATAGAAAGTGAGGAACAGGAAGCTGGGTCCTCAATGACATCACCATCATCATCATCACCATCATCATCATCATCATCATTGTCATCGTCACTGAGGAGTTAACTGTGTGCAGGCACTGTTCAAAGATATTACACATATTATCTCAATTTAAATGCCACTACACTGAAAAGTGGGCATTATTATTGTTCCCAATTCATAAATGAGGAAACTGAGGCCAGAGAGATTGAAAGACTTGCCAAGGTCATCCAGCTGGTGAGTGATGGAATCAGGATTCAAACTTAATGAGTCAGACTGCAGAGATTTTGCTCATAACTGCCTTCCTGTGTTTGAGCTTCTGGACCACACCTCACCTGAATGAGGTCAACCAGTACATTTTTAAAAATCATGTGAGCCAAGATATTTCTTGTTTGGTAGGGGGGAAAACTACTTTAATTTTGTTTTTTAGACATTCGTATCAAAAAGAGTCTTAGCTGTGAGAGTCCAGAGGAAGTAATCCAACCAATCAGGGGTAGGGGGTGGGCAGAGAAGCCTTCCCTGGGAGGGCACATCTGAGATAAGACCTAAAGGAGGAGAGGTAGCCATTGAAGATAAGGCAGAAGAGTGGTTGAGGTAGGGGGCACAATAGGAATAAAAACCCAGAAGTGGAAGGGAGGGAGCTTTGACAGGTACTACTCCAATGAAGACACTGCTTTCCTCTCTGGAAAGGTCTTAACCTGAAGAGAAGTTCTCTCCATTTGGCCCCAGCATTTCTCCCACTTGCCCCCTGTTATGCTTCAGCCCTGTCATCACCTGCCCCTGTTCCCTGATCCAGCATCAGTCTCCTCTTCTGATCCACCCTCCACAGAACAACAAGGATGTTCTTTCCCACTTTTTAAAAACTTTTAATTTAACTTATTTAAATAAAAGTTTCAGAACTACTGACTGTACAGAAAGAGTCTAACAGATCCCCATGTTACATCCAGATTCAACGGATGTAAACATTTTTCTATATTTTCGTCATATCTCTTCTTTTTATAAATAAAATATTGTAGATATTTCACATGGTCATAAAAAGTCAATTGCTATGAGGAAATTAAAGACAGGATGCTCTAAGGTGTTCCAGATATTGATCACATATTTTAAAACAGTATATCCAAGAAGCAAATGGTAAGCATTCATCTCTGGCAAATAATGGTAATAAAAAAAGGTTTCATTCCCCAAAAGTCATGTCCTATAGACCACACATCTTAAACTTCAATATGCACACAAATCACTGACAGATTTTGTCAAAATCCAAGTTTTGATTCAGTCAGTCCAGGTGTTGAGGGGCAAGAAATTCTGCATTCCTAACAAGCCCCTGGGGGATGCTGGAAATACTGACCTTGAGCAAGTTCTCAGTTTGGGAACAAAAATCATTTTGCCTAGTATATTGAACAGACTGAACACAGTGGGGTACGAACATCACTTAAGTGTCTTCTTCTGTAAGATGTTAATCTCACCTTTTTGTATCAGATTCTTTGGGAGAGAGGAGGAGGAAAGCCACTGCAACTTCCTCCATGAATAATAGCTTGATGTACTAGTAATTTCTCAGACATCAAGAGTCTCTGTTTAGAGTGTATCAGGTCTTAATCGGAGAGATTGAACCACTAGAGGATATATATTAGATAGATGATAGATTAGATAGATAGATAGATAGATAGATAGATAGATAGATAGATAGATAGAGATAGACAGGCAGGCAGACAGACATAAAATAACAGGGATTTGACTTTATGCAACTAGTGGAGTTGCTAAGCAGTCCCTAAGATTGTCTCAGTGTCTGATATTGGCACTCCAAGTGCATAGGGCAGGCAGTTAGGAAAAAAAGACAGATATAAAGTGGAGGAAAGCTAGGACAAGCTGCAGCAAACTTACCTCTAACCTTGGTGATATGAGCATCCACAGGGGAAGCTGACATCCTTCATCACTGAGCTAAACACACACCTGGCCAGAATTGGTGAAACTGAAGGAAGATCCAGGAGAAAGTGGAATAATTGCTAGCCAGACTGCTGCCCTATGCAAACATGATGAGTCAAACAGTCAGCCACTGAGACAACCTGTGTGATCTACAAAATAGCACTTCTGACCTTCTGCACTTCTGACCTCCAAATATTGCCCAAGAATTTCTTTTGGCCCATTCTAATTGAACACATACAGAGAAGGTAATTCTAGGATATAGTTCATTTAGCTTAGTCAAGCTGACACATTACAAAGCCACCACACAGACTGAAGGAGAGTGATGAGAAGATGGTTAGTGGCTGCTAGGGAGATGGTCACATGACAAGTTCTGCTCTCTCTTAGGTATCTTAGAGGATATGTCTAAGATATATCCTCTGGGTGGCTTTTTTTAGAGTTGGAAGGAAAGCCTTCCAACTCTAAATAGTTATCTCTTATTTGGCTTTAACTTTTCCTCCAAAACATACAGAATCCTTTTATATTTATATATAATTACATAGCTTGAATCAAGATGCATCCAATCAGTTGTCATTAGGTTATAGTTATACATATTTCATTAACCAATAGTCCATCTTTTGGCCAATAACTTCTAATAGACTATTTTTTGTGAGCTTACAGAAAACTCCACAAAAAGTAAAGACTGTTCCCTTATACCCCCTCTCCCTCTACACACATTTTCCCCTGTCTTGCGGGAGTGTGGTACCTTTGTTACAATTGATGACCAATACTGAAACATTAATACATACCTTACATTAGGGCTTACTCTGTTGGACAGTTCTATAGCTTTTTGCACATGGTAATGTGATGTATCCTCCACTGCAATATCATACAAAACAGTTTTACCCTCCGCAATTCCCTGATGACATAAAGTGTTGAGCAACTTTTCATATGCTTATTTGCCATCTGTATATCTTCTCTGGTGAGACATCTGTTCGTAACTTTTATCCATTTTTAATTGGATTATTTATTATCTTATGGTTGATTTTGAAGAGTATATTTTGGATCTAAGTTCATCATCAGATATGCATTTTGCAAATATTTTATTCCAATTTGTGACTTGTCATTTCATTCTTCTAACAACCAATACTTTTTTTATTTCTTTTAAGTTTATTGGGGTAACAATGGTTAATACAATTATATAATTTTCAGGTGTACATTATCATTTGACATCTGTGTATTCTATTGTGTGTTTGCCACCCAAAGTCCAGTTTCCTTCAGCTACCATATATTTGATCCCCTTTACCCACTTCACCCTCCCCCTAAACCCTATATTTGACCCCCTTTACCCCGTCTACCTTCCCCCTCCTCTCCCACCCCACTAGTAACCGTTAGTCTATAGTCCTCTGGTAACCACTAACCTATAGTCCATATCCATGAGTCTCTGTTTATTTGTCCTGCTCATTTGTTGTTTTTAGGTTTATATCCCTCATATAAGTGATGTTATGTGATTTTCAACTTTTTCTGTCTGGTTTATTTTGCTTAGCATGTTGTCACAAATGGCAGTATTTCATCTCTTCTTATGGCTGAGTAATATTCCATTGTACATATGTACCACAGCTTCTTTAGCCAATCATCTATCCTGGGATACTTCAGTTGCTTCCATGTCCTGGCCACTGAAACAACCAATACTTTTTAAAGCACTTGAAAAGCTTATACACTAATGGTAGACATGCTGTCTATTGATATTTTTTAAATAGCAAAACACCCAAGAAAGGGTGGAAGTGTAAAAATATTTTAGAGGAATGACAACTGTTGAGAAATCAGGCATCATGGAGTAGCAGCTGCTAATCTTTCTTCCAAGAAGTCCACCTGGATTAACATCAGCCCCTAGCACCCTCTTCTGCTTCTCAGCCCTCATGAAGCAGTTGAAGCTGGACTCAGCTTCTCCCCAAAATCAGCTCTCTCAATGGTGATTCCATGGTCCCCTTGTCCCTGGGCCAGAGACTCAGCTAGCCCTTGGATGTTCCCTTGGCAACTTACACCAGTAGTTTCACATTGTTATCAGCACTGCCCCAAAGCTGCCCCTTCTCGAATGCCACCATTTTAAGGTCTGCTCCACCTAATTCTCAGCCCAGAGCACTGGGCCTCATGCTGGATGCCCCTCCTCTACAGCCAATATCAACCCCAAACACTCGGTCTCCTCCTCTCTGTTCCATAGCCCTACTGTGATCCAACACTGTCCTCACCCCACCCCCCCCTCCTCATCCTGCTCCACCCTCCTCCCTGGGTTCCCAGCTTTAGTGTAACACCACCACCACCTCCCCCTCCCCACCCTATTTGTTTATTCAACAACTATTTAGAGAGTCGGGCTCTGTACTGGACACTGAGGACAGAGGGTGACCTAGGCAAGCATGTTGCATGAAAGATTCCTGAATGTTGCCATTTTTCAGGGCTCTGTCTGAGGCTGAGTGGACTCACCAGAACTCCAGCTCTCGTATCCAGTGCTTTCCAGGGCACCTCACAGATCTCTCACACTCCCTATGTCCCAAATTGACCACTGCTGCTTACTTACTACCATCCCTACCTAATGATGAGTCTATGTTCCCCACGGAACTGTGAGCTCCATAGCATGGAGACTGGGTCTGTCTCAGCCACTGCAGCGGCCCTAGCACAGGGCCGGCTCTTGAATGTTATGGAATGGTAAGGACAAACGAATCTGGAAGAAACAATGCCAACGTGATATTAGGGTCATACTATCCCTCACTCAGATCTGAGACACTCTGTTTCTGAAATCAAAGAGCAGTTAAGTTTGCCATATCATGTCTTGGTTCTCATCCTCGTAGGATGAAAGTCCCATTTGGTCAAGAAAATCGAGAGAGGCATTAGGGACCTTTTGCCTCTTAGGGAACAGCTGGTAGTGAGAAGGAAGACGCAGAATGCAAGCGGGACCCTATCCTGGAGGAATGAGATAAAGGACAGCTCTGCTACTCTGCAAAGCCTGTAAGCCTCCGTCTGCCAGGCAATCGATGGCGTCACTGTCGGCGCGCTGGTGACGTCAGAGGTGGGCGCCAAGCTTTAAGAGCGTTAGGAAGGCAGCAGCTAAGGCGCAGTTATGGAATTACTGCAGGAAGCGCGGGAGCTAGTTTGCTGGGCAGCCGAAGAGATGGAGGCTCCCGAAGCAGCCCGGGCCCAGGAGTCAACGCTGCGCAGGTGAGAGCCACTCTGGGAGTGAGGACTCCCCACCCTGGAGATAGAGTCTCCGCGGGAACCCCAACTTTACTGAAGACGCACCTTCCTCCTTCTCCGCCCCAATGAGAATAACCCCTAAGAGCTCCCCTCGCCCCCGAACTCCCGTGTAGTGTATCCAGGAAGAGGATACTAAATTTGAGTGAGGATGTCCTGGCAATAACCCCCACACTTCACCCCCACCCCGTGGCACTGCCCAGAACTAGGTCCCTGGCATCAGTGAAGATCCTCCATGAGTTAATGAAGCCTCCTTCCCGTGTTTAAATAGAATCTCCTAGTTAAAGCTGTCCCTGCAGCACCACGCCACCCACTACCTACTCTAGCCCAGCCAGTGAGGACTCGAGTCAGCAAAGACCACCCCACTGGAGATTGAATCTATAGGAGTGATGACCCACATCCAGTAATGACAGAGCACTTCCTGGCCCCCGACCCCTACCTCTGGAAATAACCCTCTCCCAGGAGAAAAGGAGCACCTCATCAGGGAATGAGAATACCCCCACAGCCAGTGAGAAGCCCACCCTCTCGATGACCCACCTGGGAGGGAATATCTTACCCCAAAAAGTATGAACCTTTGCTCCCCCCAGAAATGAGAATTCCCTAGTAAATACCTTTCCCATCACCACCACCCTGGGAATGAGAATCTTCCATCCTATGTGATATCCCAGGCATACCCTTACATGCTGTTCCCACAGGCTGTGTCTGGGCCAGGGGGCTGACATCTGGGCCTATATCTTGCGGCATGTGCACAGCCAGAGGTGAGCCTATCTGTATAAGGGAGGCTGTGGCAAGGGAAGGGACACAGGGAAGTCCCACAGTAACTCCTCTTTCTCCTACCTCTCCACTGTAGGAATGTCAAGAAGATCCGGGGAAACCTACTCTGGTAACTGGTCCTCAAAGCTATCCCTTTTTATCTTCCCTAGTCCCATCCAGCCCTGTCCCCACCCACAGTCTCACACCTCTGGTCTCCCCCTGGAAGCCCCTGTCATCCCCTAACTCTGGCCTCATTTCCTCAGGTATGGCCACCAGTACAGTCCAGAGGTAAGAAGCATGTGCTACAAGATTTTCTTTCATCCAAAAAGAGGACTTGTAGATCTTCTGCTCTAGGCCCATCCTTATATTGGGTGATGCTGGGGACATTGGATCATAAGACAGCTGCGATCCACACACTCATAGGGTTTACAGTCCAGAGGGAGACAGTCATGAGCTGAGGGGTATTAAGGGGGTGGGGAATGGAGGTACATGGATATGAGACATCAAAGCTGGTGAGGGTAGATGGGAGAATGGACTAATTTGGGAGAGATACTGACGCCAGTGTGGGACCCAGCAGTATGTGCAAGGAGCCCAGGTGACATCTAGAGAGAGGCTTCCAAGAGATATCGGGCTCCTAGATGTGGGACTCATGAGAAGATGAGGACCAGGACCGAGATGTGGTGTCATCAGTGCAGACAAAACAGGCTGAGAGGGTAATATAATTCCAGGAGGAAGGAGAGGGGCCAGGATAGCACCCTAGTGCTCTTCTGGGCCTAGGGGTTCAGACACAGTAACAGTTTAGGAAAAACCCTCTTCCACCTCACTGGGCAGATAAGGAGACTGATGCTCCACAAAAGACAGTCAGGCTGGGCCAAACCCTGGCCCGGCTGTGCATCTGACCCTGCACTTGATCCCACCAGGCGTGTCGGAAGTTGGAGCTGGAAGCTGCTGTTGCCCGCCTGCAGGCAGAGATCCAGGAATTAGACCAGAGCCTGGAGTTGATGGATCGAGAGACTGAGGCTCAGGGTGACTCATGGGGCTGGGAATATGGGCAGCAGAACGGAGGTTGGGGAAGTACTGATGGCCACCCCTGTTCCTTCCACAGACATGGCCATGGAGCAAGTGCTGCAGAACATGCAAGACACCCAGCGGCGTGCTCTCCTTCTCCGGGCCCAAGCTGGGGTCATGCGAAGACAGCAGCGTGGCCTCCAAAATCCCATGCAGTGGCTACAGAATCAGCTCAGGCGCCTGCAGGACACAGAGAGGTGGGCCTCAGGTGCCCAGGAACCAGCCTTCACCACATTGAGTAGACACATTTTCCTTAGAGACCTCTGCCCTGACCCCTTGAGTTCCACAATTCAGAGCTCTGCTCCTTAAGATTTAAAGTCCATAAGGCCAAAAATTTTTGTCATCTCCTGTATTTCCTGTATTTCCAGTGCCTAGAATGGTGCCAACTGTATATCTAGAACACCAGTGCTGGAAAAGAACAGTAAACAAGGGACAACCCTGCCCTCATGAAGCTTACACTCTGATACAGAGGAGACAGATAGTAAACTTGGAAACAAACAAACCCTATAATTGCAGGTAGAGATAAGTAAGTGCTTTGAAGGAAAGACGATATTTTAGGGGAGAAGGAGATGCTACCCTAGGTAGAATGGTCAGAGAAGGCCTCTCTGAGGAGATAACATTTGAGTTAGAGAAGGAATTTCTGTGAAAAGAGACAGCAAGAGCGGAGGCCCTGAGCTTGGCATGTGGGAAGAACAGCCAGGAGGACAGTTCGACTTACGTTTAGCAAGCAAGAGGGAGAGCATGAGGAGGTGAAGTTGGAGAGGTGGACAGAGCACCATGGAGGTGTTGGAATTCTACTCTGATTTCATGCCCTGGCTTGGCCACTTACAGCTGTGTGACCTTAGGCAAAATTTGTGCCTCAGTTTCTAAGATCTATAGAATAAGGATAATATTACCTACTTTATACGGTGAGTATGATAACTGAGTTAAATCATGCAAAGTGCTTAGAAGAGTTTCTGTTACTCATTGTTATTTTGAGGGTGATGAGGACACATCACATTGTTTCCAAGGGGTTTTGAGCAGAACAGTGACATGATCTGAGGTTTTAACAGAGTCATTGACTACTAAGTGGAGAACAGCCTGTAGGGAGCAAGAGCAGGGAGACCAGTAAGCTAATGCAGTCATCCAGCCAGCAGATGACAGTGGCCTAATTTTGGAGGTGGCCCCTGAGATTCAGACTCAGTGATCCCTGTGACTAGCTTTGCTGGCAGTAGGAGAGGACATAGACATCTGTTCTCCCAGCTCCCTCCTTTCGGGGACCCCAGCCTCAACTGTTCTCCTTTCTCCAGGAAGGCCAAAGTGGATGTAACCTTTGGACCCTTGACATCAGCAGCCCTGGGCTTGGAGCCTGTAGTCCTGGTAAGAGTCCTGGGGCATAGGGGAAGGGGTAGGGAGTCTGGGGTCAGGTGGACCCCTGGGTCCTTCTCATGCCGCATCTTCTTCTTTCCAGGGTGAAGTCCGAACAGCCTGCACCCTCCGAACCCAGTTCCTGAAGAACCTCCTGATTCCTCAGGCCAAAGGAAGCAGTATCCCGTGAGTGTCCACCAACCCCCAGAAACCCTGCAAAGAACCTGAGCTTTGGGAAGAGTTACTTGTCTGTTAACTCCTCAAACATGGCCTCTGGGCTGTGTCAGCCCCCAAACCTGCCCTGACAGGGCTCTCAGGCTGGGAAGAGGTGGAGACAGACTCATCACGGACAATGACAACCCAGGTTGTTAGGGCTATTGGGAGGTGGGGAAGCCTGAGAGGCTCTGGGTACCCAAAAGAGACACTCTACCCAGCTAAAGAGGCAAGGAGGACGGATCTGGTGAGGAGGCTTAGCAAGGGGAAAGGGTTAAGAGGGAGCTCTGGGCAAGCAGCACATGTGAAAGGGCCCCAGGCCAGCAAGTTGGTATAAATGGGAATCTCAAGTCTAGCAGCATAGATAAACTTTGTTTCCTTATGTATAAATGGGGTACAGTGACAGCTCCCACTTTATAGGGTGGTGGTGATCATTAGAGGGAGAAGTGATGTGTCTTGTAACATTCTCTGCCCCCCTTAACCTCACAGAACCCCTCAAGATGACAACTTCGGAACTTCCTACCAGCAGTGGCTTAGCTCAGTGGAGGTGAGGAGAGCTCTCAGGAAAGACCACACCCACTGTCCCATGATCAAACCTCAGGGTACCAGGACCCGATTCTTCATCCCTGCCTCATCCCCATGGGGTTCCAGCTCACAGCCTTGCCCTTATGCTGCCTTGACTTCATCCCTCCCCCATCTAGACACTGCTGACAAACCACCCTCCAGGCCACATCCTGGCCACCTTGGAGCACCTGGCTGCGGAGCGGCAGGCAGAGATTCAGTCCCTGTGCAGTCCGGACGGGCTCCGAGATACAGAGATAGCCAGGTATGGAGTAGAGTGCTTCCACAGTCAGGCAGGGTGGGTGGTTGGGTGGGCTGGGACAGGATCAGGACCAAGCACAGTGACCTGCTGATGGGGCTGGAACTGAAACCTAGGAACCAAACCCAGGTGGGCTGATATTGGGTACCCTCGAGAGTCCAAACAAGTAGACAGGGCTCTTCTCTCAGCAGTTTCACCGCCCTCCCCCTCCCCCGCCCCAGGTCCCAGGAACCAGACCAGTCAGACTGCAGCCAAGCCCTGCCATCCATGGTGCATCTCATCCAGGTGACCCCCAGGCAACCTGCCCAGACTCCATCCCCTTCCCAGCCCAAGATCCCCTCACCCTCAGGTACAACAGCCACCCTTACTGTGTACCCCTGCCCCAGGAGGGCTGGCAGGCTGTGGGTGCACTGGTCACCCAGCGGGGGCCCCTCCTGAAGGAGCATCAAATCTTGACCCGGCGCCTCCAGAGCCTGATGGAGGAAATGGAGAGATGTACACTGGGATCCAGTGAGAGGTGAGGGGGCTCCCTGGGTAGAGGCTTCTATGCCATCTCTCTCTCTGGTATCTCAGGATATTGGACTTTTTCTGCCCCTATGGCTCCCATCTCTGCCTCCCTGCTGTCTGTTTGTGGCTCCTTGCAGATATTATCTTCCCTCCTCCACTGTGAGTCTTAGTCACCTTCACCCCCTTTGCTATCTTCTGCTTGTACCCCAGGCAGGCATTGATGCTGGGGCTCCGGGGCTGTGGCCTGTGGGCAGAGCTCAAGGCCCTCAATGCCCAGAGCCAGGAGCTGGAGGAGGCGGCTGGGCAGCGGCAGCTTCTACTACAAGAGCTACAGGCCAAACAGCAACGGATCCTGCACTGGCGCCAGCTGGTGGTGAGAAGTGGGACTCCAGGAGAAATGGCAGGGCCTGGTAGAGGGCCAGAGTGAGGCCGGGAGCCTTATGACCCAGAACTGGACCTCCTGGTCAGGGGGAAGAGGCCCAGCATGAGTCTCCCAAGAGGAAGCAGGACCTATGCAAAGGGGAGGGCAGGGCCAGAAGCTGGGAGGTGGGAAGGAAAAGCAGCCGTTTTGGTGGCCTCCTTGTTGTCCAGGAGGAGACACAGGAACAGGTCCGCCTGCTCATCAAGGGCAACTCAGCCAGCAAGACGCGCCTGTGCCGGAGCCCCGGGGAGGTGAGTTGGGATTGGAAGCGAGGTCTGGATAGGGCCAGGTCTCCCAGGGATGGGACTGAGTAGTTTCAGTCTGCTCCTCCCATCCCTTTCCTTCCCCACAGGTACTGGCTCTGGTTCAGCGAAAAGTGGTCCCCACATCTGAGGCAGTGGCACCACAGAGCCAAGAGCTGCTTCGCTGTCTAGAGGAGGGGGCCCGGCACCTGCCCCACCTTCCACTGGGCACCCTGCTTCGGCACAACCCTGGAGAGTGAGATTAGGGCCCCCTCTTATATCCCCTCCCTTGGGTAACTGTCAGTCCCTGGGCCTACTCCAAAAAAATAATCCCAGACCCCCAGTGTTCCCAGGTTGCCAGACCCCACCCTCAGGACCTCAGCCCCATTCTGGAATCCTCACCCCCAGACCCACCTCCAAGTTCCTGGGTCTCCAGAGCCCACCTCTCAGCCCCCAGAGCCTCTGGAACCAAGCCTCCCTCTCAGTACCCCACCCAACTTGGACTCTCCCTGCAGGTTACAGCCCCTGCCCATGGTCCTGCCATCTATCCACCAGCTGCATCCTGCATCTTCAAGGGGCCCCAGCCTCATAGCGCTAAGCCACATTCTAGGGTTGCCTGCAGGGAAGGTGAGTGCCTGTCCCCTAAGATCTGTCTTCCCACCTCTGCCCCACCCGAGGTAACAGTCTTTCCCCCATCCCTCCAGGCTCCAGAGCTGCTCCTCCCAAAGGCTGCCTCTCTTCGCCAGGACCTTCTGTTTCTCCAGGACCAGTGGAGTCTCCGGTGTGCGGATCTGCTCCACATGAAGACCAGCCTACCGCCAGGACCACCCACCCAAGGTAGGCCTGCCCCCTTCCATACCCAGCATTCCCACCCATTCTCAGGACCGTCAGCCTCCTCACTAATCTGACGACACCCACTGCTGACACAGAGGCTTTTGTGCTATAAGCGTGTTCACTAGTTTCATCTGTATGGCCACCTCGGGGCATTAGTGCTGCCATTCTCCCTGCTTTACAGAGGAGGGACCTGGACACAGAGGCCTCAGTAGCTGCCCAGATAGCAGAGCTAGGATGTGAATTCAGGCAGTCTGAATCCTCATGGGTGTGTGATCCTAACCACTGGGTGACACTGCCCATCTAAATGCCAAGTACTCACCATCCAATAATATACTTGAGTAGTTAAAAGCTGGGCTGTAGAGTAAACTACCTGGATTCTCTTCTCAGCACCACCTCTTGTCATGTGATCTCCCAGTGCCTCAGTTTCCTCCTCAGTGGAGTAACTATAATGATAGTACCTTATAGAGCTGCTGAAAAGACACAGGTGACCCAAACAGGGCACTGAACAATGCACAGCATACAGTAATGCTCTATTTCTCTGGAGAGATTGCGATCATTTTGTCTGCACATGAGCAGTCTTCCAGTCCTGACCATGAGAGAAGGAAAGGGTTATTAAGGGTCAGTTTACAGATGAGGAAACTGAAATTCTGAAAAGTCATTCATTCCTAGATTCGCTCAGCAAGCACTTACAGGGTACCTACCAGGTATTGGCCCCAGAGCTCAATGGGCAGAGAGGCAAGAGCAGTCCAGCCTCAGGAGTATCCTGATGGTAGAATCAAAGAGCAAAGAATCAAAGGATAAATATATAAATGAGGTCAGTTGATGAGAAATGAATCAGGGTGCCATCAGCAAAGTAGGAAGAGACCATGTTCAGGACTTTGAGTTAAGGGCTCCCTGTCTTCCCCCTCTGCAATGAGCAGTGAACAGTATGCAAGAACAGCCCAAGACCCAGCATAGCTGCATCTCACCTCACAGGCATCATGGACTCTAACATGTCTAAATGGGACTTAGTTCCCTCTGCTCTGAAAGCAGTTTTGTTTTTCTTTGGCCTGATTTCCTTCCATCAATAAACGACTCCACCCTCCTCATCCAGGTCCCAAAGCCGGAAACCTGGAGTCATCCTTAATTCCTCCCAGGGCCCCTCCACCTTCATCCTGTCAGCAAGCTCTGTGGGTCCCATTTCCATTGCTCCAGTCCATTTCCTGCCCACTACCCTGTGGCTCAGATAGTGACCTGACCACAGAAGTAGCTGAAGAAAGGGCAAGTATTATGCCCAAAGTCATAAGACAAGGTGGGATTGAGTCAGGATTCAGACCCAAAGGGTCTGAGCACACTGCAGGTCTATACTTGCTCTGAGCTGGGCCTGTTTGGGGCCTGTAGAAAGGGACAGGACCTATTCACAGTCTCCAATGGGAAATGCCACTGGAGAGAAGGGCTGCAGCAGTCTGAGGAAAAAGCCTTGGGGTTAGGAATGCTAGGAAAGGCTTTTAAGAGGAAAGACAGTGTCTAGAGTGGTCCCTGAGGGGTAGGTGAAGTTTTGCTCTGGAGTAGTAAGCAGCAGCCATATAATGCAAACCCTCAAGTACTAAGCTAAGGAGCTTAGACTCTGTCTTAGGAGTACCGGAGAGCTTTGGAGGGTTCCAAACAGGAGAGGGAAAAGATCAGGTGTAAACTTTAGGAAGATCACTTTGGCTGCCATGTAGAGGATGGAGCAGAGTGAGAGGCTGAGGCCTGGAGCCTAAAAAGGAGGCTGGAGGCAGTGAAAAGGAAGAGAGAGGAAGCCGAGGGATGGCCCATGGAGATTGATGGGCTGTCAGGAGAGGGAGGTGTCCAGGATGAGGCCTGGGGGCAGTGGGCTTACCCCTGAGATGAGGACCTGGAAGGAGGGAGAGGTGCTGAGGTCAAGACTAGGTGACTGGAGACTTACTTGGTGACCACTGGCTGCAAGGAGCCAGAGGACTCAATGCTGCCTCGCGGGCTTCTCAACCTGCAGAGCTGCTGCAGATCTGGGCATCCCAGGAAAAGGAGCAGAAAGAGAATCTGGGGCAGGCTCTGAAGCAACTGGAGAACCTGCTGAAACAAGCGCTGGAGAGAATCCCAGAGCTGCAGGGGATTGTGGGGGACTGGTGAGAGGGGGACATGAATGGGGGGCGGGGCTGAGCTGGGTGGAACAGGCAGAACTCAAGGTTGGGGGGAGTTGCTTATGGCAGGGGAGCAGGGGAGACTGGTGACAAAGAGGCCATGGTGTTTTGGGGAGGCAAGTAAGGGTCTGGAAGCCCAGGCCTCCCTTCTAATACCATCCCCTTCCCCAGGTGGGAGCAGCCGGGCCAAGTTGCCCTCTCTGGGGAGCTCTGCCACGGCCTGCCCCTGCCCCAGTGGCGGCTGCGCTGGGTCCAAGCCCAAGGCACCCTGCAGCAGCTGTGCAGATGAAGAGGGGGCTCAAACAGGAGTCAAGAGCTTCACATCTGTTTACCCTGACACCTCACCTCTCTCAATATGGAAGAAAGCATCAGCTGGGTGTATCAGCCCATTGTCTCTACCCACATCTGCCATCCGCCTCACAGGCTGTTCTGCTGTTCTTGTCAACTGTCTTGCCCCTGTCTTTTCATCCCACCGAAGCCAAGAGAATGGGGCACTCTGACCCCACCCCAGGTCCTCCTGAAACTCCCCTCATCACTTTCACCCTCAGCAAAAAGTAATTGAGCACTGGCTCCAAACACCGAGGATCCAGCACTGAACAAACGGGACAAAAGTCCTCGCCTTCAGAGAGTTGTCATTCTAGGACAGGGAAACAGACCACTGACAAGATAAATAAGCAAAATATCTAGCATCTGCATGGAGAAAAAGTAGGTTGTAGGAGGTGCAATTTTAAATAGAGGGCTATACAGCAAAGGTCACACTTGGTAACTGTCATGTGAGGTGTGCAAAGGCCCTGAGTGCAAATGTGAGGGCCAAGGAGATAGTACAGCTTTGGGCTGGGGTTGGTGGGGAGATAAGATTGTCTTCTAGTTTTTGTCTAGTTTCTTTTTTTACATTTAAATCTCTGAGCCATTTGGAATTTATGCAAATGGATCCAATTTTGTCTTACTTGACATATATCCACTCTGAGCATTGGTTGCCCTTGAAGGAGCTGTGGATGGCAGGGATCAGCCAAGGAGGACACAAGGAAACTTTCTAGAGTGGAAAATATATTATTGTTGACTCTCAAACAACGTGGGATGTTAGGGGTGCTGACCTCTCACACAATTTAAAATTCACATGTAACTTTTGACTCCCCCAAAACTTAACTACTAATAGCCTACTCTTGACTGGAAGTCTTACCAATAACATAAAGTCAATTAACACATATTTTGTACGTTATATGTATTATATACTGTGTTCTTACAATAAAGTAAGCTAGAGAAAAAAGTGTTAAAATCAAAAAGAAAATACATTTACAGTGCTGTATTATTTATTGAAAAACATCCGTGTATAAGTGGACCTACACAGTTCAAAGCCATATTTTTCAAGGGTGAACTGTGTATATTGAGAGTGATGGAGTTACATAGGTATAAAGATTTGTTAGAACTCATCTAGCTGTATTTTTCAGGTCTGTGCATTTCACTGTGTGAATTATTCTTCAATTTATAAAAACTTGATCCAACTTATAAAGTAAAACTTTCTCCACCTAAACTATATAAAGTGAAACTTTAGGTAATTTGAGATGCCACCTTTTCATACACTAAAAATCTATGCGTAGTTGGGCTGTATCTGGGTGCATATGATTTTCTTCCAAAGAGCATGGAAAGGGAGTTTGAGGGTTTTAAGTAACTTTATAGTGGAGAACCCTGACAAACTACATTAGCCAGGAGATCAAAGTTGACATCAATAGTGGTCAGTCATGTTGATAGTATGTATCCTTGATAGGATATGATGAGAATTGCACTTTCATGGTCTTTTCTGGAAAAAAAAAAAATCTAATGAGAAAAAATGGAAAATCCCAAATGAGCAACATTCTACAAAATACCTGAAAATTACTTCTCAAAACTGCTGAAGTCATGAAAAACAAGGAAAGTGTGAGAAATTGTGACAAGCAGAGAAACCTAAGGATACATAACTAAATGTAATGTGGTATCCTGGTTGGAATGGAACAGAAAAGGGCAACACTACTGAAATCTGAATATGAACTCTAGTTAATGTTTGTAATGTTTTTAAAAAGGCTTCCTACCCTCTTTTTATCATTTCTCTAGTGCAGAAGCAAACAAAAGCATTTATTTGTGCTTATTTTAACAAAGCATTTAGCAGTATTTAGCAGTATTTTAACAAAGCATTTATTTGTGTTGATTCAGACTGGGACCTCAAAAAACCAAAACAGCCAATAAAATTGTTTTAACAAGAAAAAAAAAAGACCAACCAACCAACCAAATGCAATATGTGCATATTATTTAGATCCTGATTTTACAGTATTATTATATAATGACATTCAGAGGCAGGAAAAATTGAACACAGTCTGAGTGTTAGATGATACTAAGATTAATTTTCTTGGGTTTGAAAATGCTTTTTTTTAATTTTCTTTTAAATAGTCCTTATCTGTTAGATATCATGAATTGATAGATGGCTGAAATTTAATATACTTCAGAAAAATAAAAACAAGGGAAGTATAGATGAAACAAGAAGGGTAGAATATTAGCAGTTGTGGAGAGCTATGTGGAGATTCGTTACATCAGCAGTCCTCAACCTTTTTGACATCAGATACTGTTGCTCCTATGAGACGCTAACGTCTGATTATCTGAGGTGGAGCTGAGGTGGTGATGCTAGCGCTGGGGAGCAACTGCAAATACAAATCAAGCTTCTCTGTCTGGCAGCAGTGCACCTCCTGCTGTGAGGCCACAGACAGTAACGGTTCACTGCCCCAGGGTTAAGAATCTCTGTGTTATATTCTCTCTACTGTTGCATATTGTTTAAAATATTCACATAATAAAACATTTTGAGGACTACCAAAAAAAGGGTCAGCTGTGTCACAGAAAGGAGACCAACCCTACACACATGATCTATTTAGTAGACTCATTTGACCACTGGTTCTTGGCCTTTTGCATGAACAGTAGTTCCTCCTACCTAGAACATCTCTCATTTTCGACTAGCAAAAGTCTTCAGCTGTTATGTACTCCAGGAAGCCTGGGGCAGCGCCTCCAATGAGCTTCTCACATCACGTCGCTAGTCTTTCTGGGAGTCACTGTCTGGTAGTATGTCTGTCTACCCAAAAGCGAGAGCCCACGGTCCCCAGCTGTCTCCAGCCTCAGCCATACCTGGGCTGATGCAGACTTAAGTGTGTTTTAAAACTTTCGGAACAAGCCTCGTGGTGGCACCAGAGAGGCCTCCAAACTTTCCCAAGCTCTCAAAGGTCCAGTTTCCGCTTTAGGGATGGGGCCAGCTGACTTTAGGTCGCTCTCACTTGCCTACGTTTTTCCGTAAAAGCCTTGCCGCTTCTCTTGGCTGCGCTCTCATAGACCCAGGTTCTTCCGTTGGTTTGTTTTGCCAGCACTCTGATTGGCCTATATTCCTCCCCGGGTGGGCCCTCTGGGTGTGGCCAGATTCTCATTGGCTCTCGTTCTAAAGGCGAGAGCTTGTTGGCATATGATGTCATGCACCGGCGCCCGTCGCTTTTCCCTTACGTCATCCGCGGGCGCCCACACTGACGAAGCCAGAGAGTAGACAGCGGAACCGGCGGAGGCAGCGGAGCCGAGGCGGTAGTAGCGGCGGCAGCGAAGGCAGCAGCGATGGCCGGGGCAGGGCCGGCCCCGGGACTTCCGGGTGCGGGTGGACCTGTGGTCCAGGGCCCTGGCGCCGGCATCCCGGGCAAGAGCGGCGAGGAACGCCTGAAGGAGATGGAGGCGGAGATGGCCCTGTAAGGCCCGGGACAGGGCGCGATAAAAGCCATCCTAGAGCCAGATCTGCTGAGCCCTGGAGCCTCCAGGCCGCGATAGGCCCGACATATGGCTCTATCATGGGGAAATGGGACCTTAGGGATTGCAGGGGCGGGAATAAGGAGAAGTTGGCGGGGTGAAGGCACTGTCGCGATATAGCCAGCTTAATAGACTTGGTGCAAGGTTCTGAGCCGCGATGTCTGTCCTGCCCTTGCAGGTTTGAGCAGGAAGTTCTGGGGGCTCCAGTAACCGGAATCCCAACTGCTGTGCCTGCAGTGCCCACAGTCCCCACGGTAGAAGCAATGCAAGTCCCAGCAGCTCCTGTGATCCGTCCAATTATCGCGACCAACACATACCAGCAGGTACGTCTTGGCTAAGGCATATAAGTCAGAGAGCATAATGCCTCGAACTCAGTGTTTGTATACAGCGAGCTGTTGACATGATGGCTTGTTGATTAATTTGCGTGACAAATATTTTATATGCCAGGCACTGAGAACATAGTAATGACTAAGGCAAATAATATTTCTGCCCTTTGGGAGCTTATATTCTAGAGCATGTTATCCAGTAGAACTTAATGCAATGATGGAAATGTTCTGTATCTATTTAAAATACATATTTAAGTTAAATAGTTCTTCAGTCTCATTAGTCACATTCAAGTGCTTTATAGCTAGCTACATATGACTAGTGGAGAGAGAGACTACCAAAAACAAGCAAATGAAACTTGTTCATTCTGTCAACAAATAATTATTGGATGCCTTCTGTGCACCAAGCATTATTCTAGGCATTAGGCATATAGCAGAGAACAACAGCCACTCCCTTTTTGGAGTTTACATTTTACTGGGGAGAGACAAGTCAAAGTAGAGTCAGAAGAGCAGAGGTTTATCAGTGCAGTCAGAGAAGACCTTTCGGAGGATGGGACATTTAAGCAAAGACATAAAAGACATGATGGAGGGAACCATGTGGATATGTGGGGGAAGAGCATTTCCAGTAGAGAGAAGTGCTAGTGTAAGGGCCATGAGGAACGTGTGTACCTGACATGTTCACGGAACAGCAGGGAGAACAGTGTTGCTGGAGTGGAATGAGCAAGGGGAGGCTGGGCAGAGATGAGGACAGAGAAGTGATAAAGACCAGATCAGGTACAGTCTTGTGGGCCACCAGAAGGACCTTGGTTTTAACATGGAAAGCCATTGAAGGATTTTGAGCAGAGAGGTGATATGGTACAACTTAGATGTTAACAGGGTCTCTCTGGCTGTGTTTGGAGTAGGTCACTGAGGTGGTTGCTCAGACTGTAGTGGGCAAGGGCAGAATTAAAGAGACTAAGGAAGAGGCTACTGTAAGGATCTAGGCAAGAGATAATGGTGGCTTGGACCAGAGTGGTGGCATGGGAGATGGGGAGAACAGGCTGGACATAATTTTAGATAGTGCTCAGTGCTGCGGGGCAGATGAAACAGCAGGATGGTAAGAGAAGTTGCTACTGGGAGGGGCTAAGGACAGCTTTATCTAGTGTGGTCCCAAAAACCTCCCTAAAAAGTGCCATTTTAGCTGAGACCTAAAAGTTGACAGCCAGAAGCCCTTGGCTTCCCAGAGTGAGTGAGCCAGGACAGTTTGGGAGCACTGAGTCAGGCCTTTTACCCCAAACTCCTCCCCAACAGGTCCAACAGACTCTGGAGGCCCGGGCAGCTGCTGCAGCCACAGTGGTTTCTCCCATGGTGGGCGGCCCTCCTTTTGTGGGCCCAGGTAAGTAAGGAGTGGTGGGGGGAGGGAGCCAGGGGATTAGGCAGAGTGGTAAGAAGGGATGCCCAGGACTATCTCCCACCATCTTTGTCTCTCCCCTCCAACAGTTGGCTTTGGCCCTGGTGATCGGAGTCACCTGGACAGTCCAGAAGCTCGAGAAGCCATGTTCCTGCGGCGAGCAGGTAGGCCTGGGGCCAGGAAACAGACATTTAGCCAAGCATTCTTGTTTCAACTACTTCAGCCTTCTGCCTAAATCTTTGCTCTAACTCACCCTCTCCATTTCATCCCCATCCTGATGTCATCTTCCTAAAACACAAACCTCATGTACTTCAAGTTATTTTGGGCTTAAGGCTTAACTGGATCATTGCAAACCAACCTCCTGCTGTCACTCCTAATCCCTACCCTTTGCTGCATTTCTTCATAGCACTTAACACCTTATAACAAGCTATCCAACTTACATATTATCTTTTTCTCCCTCTAAAATATAACCTCTGTGAAGGGCAGAAGTCTGGTGCCTGCCACATAGTAAGCATTACATGCTATCTGTTGATTGGATGAACAGACCATTAAATAAATAAGCACCAAGCTCCTCCCCTGGCAGTCAAGACCCTACATCACCTAGCCCCTTGTAGAGAGAGAGCCCCACATCCTCCCCAGAAGCCCTAATCATTGCTGGGATGTGCCAGCAATGCTTTTGAAGTTCTCTCCTCCGCTCTCTGTTGCCCAACTATAACCTTCCAAAACCTATCAACTAAATCAAAATCAAACTAACCAAAGTCACCTGAAATCTATCCTCTCCACAGGCCATTCTTACTTTTTGTTGTTGAGGTGACCTTACACAGTCAATTTTGGTGACAGTACTTCCTTATGTATATGAAAAGGATATGTGTTCTGTAAAGTTCTGGTACAATCTCAATTAGATTAATCTTGTGTTACTTAAAACCTGTTATACATTTTTTTTATTGATATCAGAAATTTTAACATCTTACTCTTTAGTATAGTTTTGATCAAAATGCAAACCCTGCCCAGCTTGCAACCCTGCTATGACTCCTCGGTGCCCTCGGAATACATCTGTGGCTTAGCCAATAACGCTATGCTTGGATGCCTGCTGTCCTCTCAGCCATTCTCTTATGATGCTCTCCAGCTCCCAGCTTCCTGTATCACAATTACACTAAGCTGAAAATGGAGAAAGATTTTGTTTATAAATGTTCTCCTTTGCCAATGCTGTTTCCAGTCACCGTTTGCTGGACCAACTCTTCATTATCCTGTGGGTTTTAGCTCACAGGTTCTTTTCTCTAGGAAGCCTCCTCTAGTCTTTCTGGATAGGTCAGAGGGCTTCCTCCCAGCTCCCAGTACTTCCTGGGCTTCCCCCTTCTAGCCCTGATCACCCTGCGCCTGGCCTTTTCTCCATCGAGGCCCTGATTATTGTGGACTGTCACTCTCTGGTAATAGGTCTGTTTCCTCCTACTCTGGATCAGGAGCTCCCTGAGAGCCCTTAGTTTTTCAGTGTGTCCCTGGCATTGCCTAGGACAGGGACAGGCCCAGAGGAGAGCCTTAATGGTAAATTTCTCTTGAATGAACAAATAAAAAGACTCCTGCATCTTCCCAGAAGACTCCCCACACTCTTCTCCAGGATTTCTTGGATGCTGAGAGTACCCCCACACACACACCTTGCCCCAAGTGCCCTGGTCCCCCATGACACACACCCCCATCTCTTTCTCCCACAGCCGTGGCCCCCCAGAGGGCCCCTATCCTGCGTCCGG